AAAAAAAAAAAAAAAAGGCGGGAAACGCCTCAACCCTGCTGTCAAGACTCTACTCAGTACTTCAAGTTCTTTTTTGCCCAGCAACTCAAATATATACCTGTTAACCACACAATTCGAGCAATTTCAGTACAACAATAACAAAGGCCGTCCAAAAGACTGACCACAAAACATTATGTAAGCAACCCAACAACACTTCACGGACGAACATCAGATTTTAAACAACAAAAAAGGTTCCAAACAAAAATCCAAAAGAAGAGTCAACAACCTCTCAACTACAGAGATTGGGCACGCAAGCTCCATCTGGGCCTTGCTGCTCCTTCCAAATCCTGCCCGTCACACGAAGCTTGAGCTCTTTCCTGTCCCCACCTGAGAAAAAGAGAGCCATATTGCGCTGTATGATGAGCCCGTCATGGCTGTCCCTAACCTTCCTGTGGCTATCCCTAATGCTCCTTGGGGTTCCTTCCCATACGAGCTTCCTGCCATTTCCCCCTACCTCCAGGCTGTAGCTGTAGTCACGAGCCTCCATTTCATCCCCCATGAATCGGAGGAAGGCCATGTAAACTGGGGCCATCCCGAGTTGGAATGCCTCAAAATGGAGACAAAAATACTGTCCGAAACAATGGAAAACCTGATGATAACAAGGAAAAAAGGAAAGGACAAAAAGGGGTAAGGGCTTTAATTCACAAAATGTAAGATTTCTGAAAACAAATTATTGATTTACCCGTTTAGCGACGTATGTGACAAGTAAAAGTTGGAGATATTGGAAAATAGAAGCTAAAAGAATAAAATTACAAATTGTTTGGTGAATATGCTTCACGTGTTTCAATGGAAGACCAGAATCAGAACATAAAATGCAAGCCACCTTCCCCTCTGATGTTGGATTTTGATCACAGTATGCAGACGCAAAGTGAAAGTGGCGTCTTTTAGATCTCACACCCTACTTTTTTAGCTAAATAAAAGTGGAAAATTCAATTTGTATTGTTTTTTCAGCTAAAAGTGTCCTCGAAATTGAGTCCATGTACTAAATTTGGTGGAACTAACAGATCCATTTTCAGCTGCAACAAGTATGATATCATTGAAAAGGAGTGACGGCGAGAAGGAAAAAAAAAGGAAAAAGAAAAAAATACTTACGGTCAGCATCCACGTAGCATTCTCCACATCCCTAGGGTTCGATTTAACATAACGGTGATTGAATGTGCATCCGGAATGCATATCCACTTTATGATCATCTCTCAAATGAGTGACGAGATACGGAATGTCACCCACAACCGAGCACTCAGATCCAGCATAAGGGCAACTGTAGGGTCTAAAATTGCAAAGGGCCTCGTGCTTCAACTTACTGTAATAAGGAAAGATCTCAAGGCATCCAAGGGAGCAGTATTTGCAGGGGAGCTCGAGCGACTCAGCCACTTTTTCTAACGCCAAACATCTTATGTCACCTAGTTCTTGTCTGCAAGTCGGGCACCGGTTGTGGACCCTAATTTTACACGTGGAACAGAGGGTATGCCCGTTGTGACACTGCAGTACTTGAGTAGATTTTAGGGGAAAGGTTTTGTACTTACATTTTGTATCAATCGTGATATAAAATTATGCAGAAACAATATGAAAAGTTCAGCACAGGACAATTGATCAAGTCAATTAAGCACAGCCCCCAACTTCCCCAAAGTTTTGTGAAGCATTCTTGATTCTCCTCAAGTATATTAATTATTTCTACTAAATTAAGTCGGAACGAATTCGGAGAAAGAAAGATTGATCTGTATGATACAAGTGAAACAACTAGAAAATTCCATTCTTTTGAGGCATTCAACCATCACAAGGAAAATAAACAATATATATTAACTTCTTGGTCTAGCCTAAATAAGTGCATACAGCTGCTAACGAAAGTTCATGTTAGACAGATTCAAACTCATATGAAAGGACAAAAAAACAGAAAAAAGATCCCATTTTGTAGACTTATGAAGACCTAAATCGCTGGTCGATTCAATGTTGAAGCATTAATACGCATCACAAATCAACCTTGTTCAAGAAGCTCATGAACAAGAAAAAAAGACAATCTTCATTAAAACTGGGCAACAACCAACGAAATCGAAAAAGCCCAGAAGCTAAATTTTCATTAAAAAAAGAAGAACAAGAAGAAAAAGACAATCTTCAAACCTGATGTATGGGAGGGTACATAGAATTAGTACAAACTGGGCATTCAAGAAGCTCATGAACACTCGTGGCTGGATTACTGTTGTTGTGGGATGGCTTTGGGGATGAGAAGAGAGAAAATGGGTGGACGCTACAGATCTCATCTTCGTCCACCCCATCAACGGT